CAACAGAGACAAGCCTGGACTATCTCCAAGGAGAAGGGCTTTGGGGGCGGAAGACAAGGGAGCAGCTAGAGCCTGACCCAGCGAGACAGGAGGTTCTTGAGACTAGGGGTACAGAAAGCTGCAGATTCGCGAGCTGTTGCCTGCACCTGTAAAATTGTGTGAGGGCGGCCCGTGAAGGCCGCAGATGGAGCGGCCAGCCTGGGAGCAGGGTGCGGCCTCCCTCAGGGAGGGAGTAGCATCCTGGGGAAGAACAGGAGGAGGAATGCTTTCCAGACAGGCAGAGAAGTTTAGTCAGATTTTAATCTATTTTATAAAGAAAGGTGACATTTCTTGTTCCTTCATGGCATGGAGCAAATTCCTGCTGACTGCACAGGGTGTTCGTCGGAACCCCAGAGATCGGACGGAGGTCTCCCGGGGAACACCACTTATGGAGCTTGTGGGAGACGAAAGGAGCGGCCAGACGGCCAGAAGGGAGAGCTTGATGCCGCAGAAGCAATGGCAATGTCACCAAGCAGGGAGTCCTCAAGAGTTCAGTTCCAGCAGGGAGTTCCAGTAGGATGAGGACTGAAAAGCTACCATTAGATTTGGCAACATGGTGGCTCAATGACGTGATGGGGCAGGAGCCAGATTTGAGGAGCCCATGGGGCATGAGGTTGTATGTCCCCTCACAGCCCTGAACCATCAGCTCCATTGGCCGAGTGGCCAGGTGCTTCCAGGGCAGGGCCAGGTACCCATCCTGGTCCCATCAGTGGCAAGAGAGAGCAGAGAGAGCTCAACCCAGTGGCCCTCCCTGACTGAGAGAAACTCCCAGGAGGAGACGTCCAGCTGCCTCGGGTAGTGGTGTCACCTTCATAGAAGACCAGCCCCATTGCTATAAAACGAAGAGGCAGGTTTATACAGAGAAATGGCAAATCTCCTAAGAAACGTGAACCCTGTGAAGATTCATTCAAATTCCCCAGTCCCGTCTCACTGGTTCGCTGAAGGGGTAGAGAAAGAGGTGAAGGATCTGGCCCTTTTGCAGCAATTTCAATGTCTGTTTCGAGGGCTCGATACGCCTGCACTGTCCTGCATGTTGACACACAGCCTCCCGTTTCACCCTGCAACAGCACATGGGAGAGATGTGCCTATGCTGCATGAGGGGAGGGAGAGGCTGGCTTGCCCAAGGTCACAGAGTGAAGGAAGTAGAGCTGGAATTTGTGCCTCTGGTTACCTCCAGTCCAACTTCATGGCTCTTTCCGCTAAATCAGTGTCATTAGGAGGAGTTCAAAGAAGATTCCCAGCTCCCTCCTTATATGAAAAGTGAAGAAATTTTTCTGGGACTCAGGCCTTTGGCAGAAGAATTACCCCGTTACGTCCACGTCCCACATCCTGCGGGCCGGAGCTGAGCCGTGCAGGACCAAAGCCCAGGCCGTGCCCTCCTCTTCTCTGAGGACTCATCTGAGACGATCTCTGCCTGGACAACGCAGGCTGCGTATCTCCACAGCGTGGTCCTCCATGTTCTGACAAGACTCATCGTGAGACCAGTGTGAGCTCACTGCCTGGGCTGGGCAGCAGAATTCCATGGAATAGGAAGCCTGGGCCAGCGCGGAGGATGTACGGAATGAGTGGCACGAGCCTCTCAGAGCCATCCACCCACACTGAGGAGACATGGAAGTATCCTGGGGTGACAGCTTATTATGGCAGAGGAGGGCCTCCCAGAAAGCATCCACTTGGGACGTGGGTGTGAGAGGAGTCAGGAGGCCTCCTCCCATTCATAATGCTTTTGTCTCAGGTTCTGGAAACTGTGTGAGCTAAGCCTCCGGTCCTGTGACACTCTGAGGGATGTGCCCAGCCTTCTCTGTGGCATTGTCCCGCCCTGGCCCTCCCATGGCAGAGGCCCGGTGGAGAACGAAAGATACCCGTTGCCAAGCAGCAGACCCTATAACATCACAGCTAGGAGAGACCTACCTGACTTGGGAGAGCAGATTTTAAAATTGGACAGCCTCGATTCAAAGTCCAGCTCTACCACTGTAGCAGGCGTGTGGCTCAGGGAAGCTTAACTCACTTGCCTTGGCCTTTGTGTCTTCATCCATGAAACAGGGATAATAGTGCCTACTCTGTGCTTTCGGGAGATAAGACACATCAGGTGGTTAGCACAGCAGCTGGTATATAGCACACATTCAGCAAATGCTAGCTCTTACCATCATTATCCTCATCATTATCATCACAGACAGCACTCCATATGCATCTCCCAATGTCCCCCCAAGTGCTTCAGGACACTGGCTAAGCAATTACGGGAAACAATAGCCCTTGGGAACCGAACCAAACTCCAGAGGCAGCAGGATGGGCGGCTGGGCTGTGACCAGCTCTGCCTCTGAAGACTTAGCCTCTGCCCCACACCCAACACACTCGCGTGCCCTCCCCTCCTTCCCCAGGGGGTAAACTCAGCAGTCAGTGGACTTGACAAAGCCAGAGAGTCTGAGTGGTACCTGGAGATGCCTGGGATCCGGGGACCCGAGGATGGTGTCACCAGCAACCCCCACTAGCCTCCACCAATACAGACACGCACATCTTTCTGGAAATTCTGGACCGATTTGGGAAGTCCCATCACCCTATTCCACGCTTCTTATGGCTTCTATAAATGTCCGGTGTCTAAGGAAAGTGTTTTTCTTTTCCTATTAAGATACTGCTTTTTCTCGAGCTTATCTCTCCCACACACACCCCTGCACCCCTCCAGGTTACTTCTGCCCTAGGAAGCCAGACACAGAGAAGGGTCTGAAAAATAATGTGGCAGGAAGCCTCCTCGCTGACGTTGAGATAGATGAGAAATAAGTTTTGGGTTGAACCACTGAAGTTGTGGGAAACTGTGGGCTCTTATTGGGGTCACTGTGTTCTCCCTACTTGCTAATATGCTAAGCCTGCCACCTGCCCCTCCCCCACACCTTTTTGTTGGGATGAAACCAGAAAAGAACTGAAGGTGGGACTTCTCCCCTTCCCACTGACATGAGAGTGTAAAGGAACCAAATCTGAGGTGTCCGAAGGCCAGGCCCACAGACGCAGGCCTGGAGACTTCTGTGATCATGGCCAGAAGCAAGGGTGTGCCCAGTGACGCTGGTCGTGTATCCATGGGGTCACAGTGATGGAGGTCAATATATTCAAGGTAGGAAAGTAACTGCAGAGCAAGAAGGGATAGATCTTTCAGAAACCGATGGGACCACCAATCCAATTCTGTTGGAAATGCTTGAGGAAGCTTCTTACAACCAGGCCTTTCTCTGAGCTTGCAAAGGCAGAGGTAGAGAAAGAGGAAGAAGGGAAAAGGAGAAAAGACAAGCACTGGATTGTCCTTCACCCATCCTTGTCTGGTTTTGTTTGTTTGGTTGTTTGATTTGGTTTGGCTTGGTTTGGTGAATTTTTACTTACTCTTTAAGATTCCTTTCAAGCCTCCCGTCCTCTGTGAAGCCCTCCCTGACCTCTCCAGGTGCGACTGGTAGCTTCCATGCATGCTGTCCCTACTCGTCATAGCTTCCGTCACACTGGGTCACAATCATGAGTTCCTGAGGACACTGTCATGGTCTTTGTGCCCCTGAGCCTGTCATAATACGTGATACAGAGTAGGCACTGATATGGCAGGTGGGGGGCTGGCTGGTGAGCTAAATAAACACTCAGACCCCACAGCTGAGGAACCAAACGTAAGAACCCCAACAGAGGCTGTCTGGACACCGGGGTGGGCAAGGTATCAGTAGAACAACAAATCACAAATTTTTCAGGTCACACAACTTTTATTGCTAAAGACCATTGCCGGGGCTGCCATAGACATGAACATTGCCGTCCCCCACCCCCAGCCCTGATAACAGGCAACCAGCCCCCTTGGCTCCTGTCCAGACTTGCTGCCTGCCTGAGCTGGGCTGGGCTGACCCGCACGGACCCTGCCTCTGAGAGTCATAGCACCGTGAGGCAGGCCCCAGGAAGGTGAGGAGAATGGGACTGGGCAAGAACAGGTAGCCCAGAGGAGCGGCTGGGGAAGGCCCAGGCCTCTGGCTGGCATGGAAACCAGGCACACTGATGGCTCACGGGAGCAGGGTATCTCAGATCCTTCAACACGGCTGTTTGGAGGGCCTGGAGACAGTGTTGACTCTCTCTCCACGGCAGCGTTCAGGTCAATGCCCGGTTTCTGAAACAACTGAGAATTTGAAAGGCAGAGAAGCGGAGAAGAAACTGCAAAAGGCCCAGGAGGGCACTGGACAGGGGGCCCTGTCCACCTGGACTCTCTTAGGCTCTGACGCCCACGGAGAAGCAGCAGCCATTTCTTCACGCCCTGATGTGGCCTTCAGATGCAGCGACACGTGTGGCTCTCTGTGAGGGATTTGCTTGCCAGCCCGCATGAGGACTCCTTACCGAGTACCCCAAAGCGGCTCCTTCCATCCGGTCCCTTGAGGTCAGGAACATTCAGCAGGACTCTGGAATGGCACAACTCCCAGAAGTCCCTTGGAGTCTTTGGGGTGATGGATGCTAGGGCTTCCAGCGCCTGGAATTTTTGGAGAATCTTTATAAAATGCATCTGCTTCCATTTCTTGAATATAAAAATAAAATAAAAATCTGCCCCAGTGCCTCTGAGCCTGGACCGCCGCATGCAGCCAGCCCTCCACATCTGGGCACCAGCACGAGGTCTGAGAAAGAGCAGGAAGCTCGTGATGCCAAAGGGGGCACTTCCCACCAGGGCCAGCCCAGGCCCTCTGCCACCCGGGTGTCCCCGGGGCTGCCGGTGACCACGCAGTCTGGGCTCGTCTCCAAGTCACGGTCAGAGGAGCAAGAATGCCTAATATGGACTTCCAGGCCCTTCTCTGGGGCTCTGTTTGGGCTTTACCACCTCTGTCCATTATGGCTACCCCTGCAGGAACCTCCACACAGCCCAAACCATTAACTCCAGGTGCTTTCCAACCTGGGCTTTGCAAAGAGCTGACAGCTCTTCTGGTTTCTGAAGACCTTAGGAGAGTAACAACATCTACACGCGTGCACACGTGTACACACACATACACACACATGCGTGCATATTCACAGAGGCAGCAGATAGTAGAGGTAGGAGTAACGAAGGTGCCTGGTGGCCTTTAGCCTAGATGACACTGCCGATGGCCCAGTCACTTTGGTCAGTGCCGTGAGGTGGGACAGTCCAGCTGCTTAGGATTTCCGGAAGTGCACCTCCCTCTGAGGACGAGAACAGGGAGAACAGGATGAGGCTGAGTCAGGAAGACATATGTCGAAGGTGGGGTTCAGAGCCTGCCATTCAGTCCAGCTGTCACTGGGCACTGCTCCTTGGAGAGAGGCAACAAGGAGGAACCGTGGAAGCAGAGAGACCCACCAGGCTGGATTTCTGGACCAGCTACCCAAGCTCTGTGTGCTGCTCTCCCCTCTCTCAGGCAGAGGAGGGAAGGTGAGCATAGCTTTCCTGCTTTAGGGCTAAGATGGCAGGTGCAGGGAAGGTAGGGCTGTTCTGGGTCAGCAGAGGTGGGGGTGAAGCCCTGCACCCCAGATACCCATGAGACTAACTCCCTGCCAAGGAGGGAGGCCTCCTTCATACACCGCTCCAATCAGCTGTGTGAACTCACACCGTGGCCGTCTGTGGGGAGAAGACATGCCACTGGGGCCCAGCCTGGGGCCACCCCTTTCCATCCCTCCAGAGGAAGGAAACAGAAGGTAAGAAACCTAGGCAGCTGGGGTTGGCCCAACATTTGATTCCTATCCTGTCCCAGTCTTCCACACTTCTGAACAACTCCAAACACGAGGGGTGAGGGGAACTTTGCTAAGACTCTGGGGAAAGCCTGGGCCCTCTACCAGACACCCCAACTTTGGGGAGCTCCCAGTCTGCCCCATGCAGGCGCTCACCTCCATCTTGCTGTAAATCCAGGGGAGGACTTCAGTCACTTTGGTGTACACACCGGGCTTGTTTCTCTGGCCACAGCCCGTGCCCCAGCTGGTGACTCCTGCCAGATACCAGCGGTTGTTCTGCTCACAGACCAGGGGCCCCCCGCTGTCTCCCTGTGGGGGGAGTACACATCTCAGCAGGGTGGGAGAGGTGGTCCTTGAGCAGGAAATGGCGGGCACCTGATTCTCACTCTGAAACCACCACCCCAGCCTTCCCCCATGGCCCCTGGCTCCCAGGACACGAGCCCCTCACCTGGCAGGAGTCTCTGCCTCCCCGGAGGTCCCCAGCACACATCATCCTTGGGGTAAGGTAACTGTCATAGACCAAGAAGTCATTGCATTTCTTAAAGTCGATGAGGTTGACCTCTACCTCTCGGAGGAAGGGGGATGTCTTCTCTTCAGTGAAGTCAAGTGGAGGAAAGAAAAGATGGGAAAGGAGTGAGACCAGATCTGGACACCTTCATGACCTTCTAGCCAGCTACCCCATGACTCAAATTCACAGCTTCCTGGGAGCAGAGGATACCATTCCCATGGCTGGCCACCCAGAACATAAGGCCACATACACCCTCACACCACACACAACCCCCTACACGTAACATAGAGACAGACATGTACACAAACTCACAAGCCTATTGGGCTGCCTTCATGTTGCAAAATCTTCTCTGTATGCAGAGCACCATCAAACACATCATTTCATTTGTTTTCAGTAACTATGTGCCCTAACGAGGTATAATTAATCCATTTACAGTTGGAGAAACTCACGGCCGAAGGTGTGACTTGCCCACAGTCACACGGCCGTCAGTTATGGAGCCGAGACCAGAACAAGTCTGCTCCCAGGCTAGTCACCACCCACTGCACTGAGCAAGGGAAAGGAGGCCCTGAGACCCGCAACTGGCCAGAGGCTCTCTGTGAGGCCAGCCACGTGCTCCAGGGCCAAGCATAAACCATCCTACAGAACCAACATCAGCAAAGATCACTCTGCAATAGAGATAAAGGGAGGCGAAAGAAGACCACTCCACTTCGTAATCTCGTTTAAGGGTAAATGAAAACAAGGTAGGTTACAAACCACAAATAACGGCAACCATCCCTTCTCCCAGCCAATAGGAATGGCTAATGCCTTCTCACCGATTATAGCTTTAGACTCTGCTTATTCTTAACTCCTAGATGAGATTATTAGGATGTCCAATCATAGAATTATCCCTGCTTGGGCGCCTGGGTGGCTCAGTGGGTTAAGCCTCTGCTTTCAGCTGAGGTCATGATCTCAGGGTCCTGGGATAGTGCCCCGCATCGGGCTCTCTGCTCAGCAGGGAGCCTGCTTCCCCCCCACCCCGCCTCTCTGCCTACTTGTGATCTCTGTCAAATAAATAAATAAACCTTAAAAAAAAAAAAGAATTATCCCTGTTTCCCGAAAGCATCCAATCTAGAGAAATGCTCCACTTCTTTGAACCGCCCCCCTCCCCTACAATAAGTCCTTCCTAGCACTCTGTTATTAAGACATCCATGGTTCCCTGTGGTATATGTTCCTCCTCAGTGCAGTGAGCAGTGGACCGAACGTGTTTGATTATAGGGGGTCTCCAGGTGGTCTTGGCTGGAGACCAACTACTTTGACATCTGCTCAGGTATATACATTCACACACATTTGTCTCAGGTTGGTTTACAGGATTTCACTTGGGAGAGCTCCATGTGAAGCTGCTTAGGGGGACACAGACACCTGGTAGGGTCTGCATGTAGGAGGACATGGGTACCTGGTGTTGTCTGAATTGATGGGAGGATCTTTTTTTTTTTTTTTAATTTATTTATTTGACAGAGAGAGAGAGAGTGGCAGCGAGAGACAGAATACAAGCTGGGTAGTGGGAGAGAGAGAAGCAGGCTTCCCGCTGAGGATGCAGCCTGATTCGGGGTTCGATCCCAGGACCCTGGGATCATGACCTGAGCCAAAGGCAGAGGCTTAACGACCGAGCCACGCAGGCCCCTGATGGGAGGATCTTAACCGACCAAGCAGAGCCTACGTGGTCTGAATAGAGGACATACAGTGTTGTCAACAGTCAAATAGTCTATTTGTTGTCAAATAGTCTTTTTTGGTAAAGATATGTGAATGAAGTGTTGGCCTCTTCGCCAGGAGGTGGCACCTAAGAGTTCTGAGGAAATAACCATATAGGCCCCTAGGTACAGAGCTGTACATAAACACATTTTGTATAGTCTTATAGGGTAGGTTTTCTGTGAAAGTGGCGAATATTAGTTAAGCATGTGTCTTGGCATTTTTTTCACCTGCACATTTGGGACTTTTTCTTTTGATTGACTAAAGCTGCATATACTAAAAACAAAAACAAAAACTTTTTTTTCTCATTTCATTTTCACTTTTTAAAAAAATTCAAAATAACTGCAATTTAATGGGGGCTTTCTCCACGGAAGAGTTAGTCCAAAGTGGAAGAAACAACCCAGGCTCTGTGAGCAAGTGGTGGAGTATGATGCGGATAGCACCAGCCTGGCATGTTCTAGACTATTCTAGGCTGTTCTAGACTTAGTTCTGTCTATCAGAAACTACCAGAGTGACCCTGGGGGCAAGTGACGGAGCCCCAAAGGTCTTTAGCTTCCTCATTTGTAAAATGGGGAGAAGGGGTTAAGGGTGATACTTGGGGGGCCAAAACTTTCTAACAGGGGTTACAGGATGTACTATAAACTGGTCCAGCATGTGTGGGGGTGACGTGAACACACATATCCACATGCAGGCCATGACTCTCTGTGCCCAAACCCTCATCTACACAGGCCCTCCTCCATACACCCCGACACATCACCCCCACGCACTCTGTGCAGATGCACATGTACACACACACGCGCAGCCCAACAACTCTGCCTCTCACCATCAGTCTCCTTGGTCTTGCCAAAACCTGTGATCCAGCAGGTCTCATTGAGGCTGAAGGTCTGTCCGTGCATAGGGAGGCAGGCAGGGTGGATGTGAGCTGCAACAAGACCTCAAGACATCAGAGCAAGGTCAAGGCTGGAGATCTCAGCTGGGATGGTACTATGGAGAGACAGGGGTATCCAGGTCCTAGGACCCTCCCTCCTTGCCCCAGTATGGTTCAGAACCTTCTAGGGCCTTGAACAGACCAGGCAAGAAACTCAGGCACTTTATCTTGACCCTCCAGCCTTTGGGTTGCTGCTAGAGTTCCCGCAAACATTCTGATCTCAGTGGGTGCCCTGTGGGCAGAAGCATATGCCTTGGAAGCTCCCCTGTGCCAGGCCGATACCGGGGTGGCTCTAAGGATCTTCCTTCTATGAGTGGCTTTCCCGGCTGAGCCTCCTCCACGCCCACCTGTCAGAGGAGGGAGCAGCAGCAGACCAAGTCCCAGGCATTAGCACCATGGCCTCTCAGTGATGTGTCCAGCCAGGTCTGGGGAGAGTACCCACAGGTGAGTCAGCAACTGAGGGGCTTCCTCCAGCTCAACCTCCCCAAGTGAGAAGAGCACATCCCTAGAGACATGGACCACAAAACCACTGCTCACTTGCTCCCAGGCTCAGAAACATTTAGAAGGTGCTGCTGTGCGTCACGTCACAGCCCCTCTGAGGACTGGGATCTTTAAGCTAGGGCGTGAGCCACCAAACTCCAACTTGCAAGATGAAAATACCAGCTGATAGAATGTTTGCAATGTTCTCAATTGTTTCTTATGCTCACCTAGAACACATACAAGTACACCTGACACATACAAAGTACTCAACAAACAAAGAAAGGAAGAAAGGAAGGAGTGACACAGAGGACGGGAGTGTGGGGGAGGGAATGAACGCTGGATTCTTCTCATATAAATTGGGCTTTAAGTATCGGGGTCTAACACATTTGTCTGCTAGAGAGTAAACAAAAAAGAAATGAAGGCATGGCATCAATTATTAACCAAAAAATGCAAAACATAATTTCTTAAAATATGCCCATTTTTAAGATATAGGGTCTTTAAAAAAAATGTAACATGGTTCTATCCTCCATTCATTTTTATGGGGGAATTAACTTTATCAGTGAGTTTTCACAAGTTTTCTTCGATAGAACTGTGACTTGAAAGTGCTTGGCCCGCCAAAGGAGTTTAAGAAAATCTACCCTGATTTCTAAACCAAAAATCAGGGCACCTGGTCTGACCACAGGACTATATAAATCTAAACTGTAATTCTCAGTCTAGAGGTGTGCTTCCTGCCCAGGGGCCTATGAGTCTGGAGAGGGACTGCCATAGTCTGAAAACCATACACAATGTTATAATAGCTTTCATTTGGTTTTACAGATTACTTAATTTGATTTGGAATTCCAAATAACATTAAGGGGGGTTGGGGTGGTGGGAGATCTGGATGCTTAGCGAAGTGGAGTCTGGGTTTGGCAAGGTTGGAAAGGCCTATTCTGGTCCTGCAGACTAACTGCCCCTCTTAGGTGAGCATGAGGGGTAAGGCATGCGCGGAAGTCCGCCCCTCGCCACAAAATGGGGGGGTAGGCTACAGTGGAGGAGACTGACCCGCTGGTGGGAGTGGCTCTGGGTGGGCGTGGCCCTGGGTCAGCCCCGCCCAACCGTGCTTAGGCAGTTTCTTCCTCCTCCCCCCCACTCTGATGACCTAGTGTCTGACTCAGGACTGACGCCGCCTCTGTTATTAATATTCCCCGAAAGACCAGCTCACAGGCTCAGAGCACGAGAAAGTCTGGACTAACCAGAGAGCCCAGAAAGCCCAGTCCACCTTAGAGATCCTTCTCCAGAGAAGCCCCACTCGTGCCACGTCGGCTCCCCCAGCTGTCCCCACCATGGAGTCACTGGCCTCTACTGGCTGCGCATCACCCATTTCGTTCTATTTGCAATTTCAGCTGGAGAGTGCGCAGCGTAGCAGTAGACACACGCTAAGTATTTGATAAGCGCGCACATGAGTGAGTGAATTCATAGATGAAACCTTTGATCTCCCGACAACTCCCCTAGCATTTCCGTCCTGTGGCCAACCTCGTGGCAGTTCACTGTCTGCATATGTGCTCGTGTTGTGCTCCCAACTGCAGTGATCCCAATTTGCCAGCACGAAGAGCTTTACTCCGGAGGCAGACCCGCCTGGATCCCATCCTGGAGCGGGCGGCCGCTTAGGACTCTGGCCTTGGGTAATTTTCCTTCCCTGAGGCTCCATGTCAAGTATAAAATGAAGCTAATAATAGTACCTGCTCTAGGATAGGTTGGGAAGAGTAAATGATACCGCAGCTGTAAATTGCCTGTCGCAGTGCCTGGCCCCTGTTAAGTGCTCAATAAATATGCGTAGAACAATTCAATCTATTCATATTGGTAAAGACCAGTACCCAAGCCTTATCTCTGTCATCAACTTGCAATGTAAGATGTGTCATTTGGCACAACCTTATGTCCAACCTCTGAGTCTCAGTTTCCCCAATGGTAAAGTAGAAGTGTTCCATTAAATGATTCCTAAGAGCCTTTGGCTTCCACCGTGCTGAGGCTCTGGGACCCCAAGAGGGCCTATGGGTGTGGCAAGGCTGGGCTCTGAGAGCTGCTGGAAAAGCGGGCGTGGCTGTGACTCACCAGACAGGGTCAGGGGCTTGGAGAGCCGCATGAGGGCAATGTCATAGTCGTCTTCCTCGTCCGTGTAGTTGCCGTTGATGATGATCTGGGAGATGGAGGCTGCTTCAGGCAGCTGGAGCAGGTTGCTGGTGCCTGCGTAGACCTTCCAGCCCTCCAGAACCTTCTCCCGGGTCCTGCAAGAGCCACAAGGGAGCATGGTCCAGCTCCTTGTCCCCTGGCAGTGTCTGCTATGCACAGGGAGCTGCAGCCGTAGCACCAGCTTACAGGCGGGGGGATGGACGAAATGACCTCAAAAGGGAGCCCTCCATCTTCGCCCAAGACTCAAAAACAAGCCCCCCCCCCCTTTTCTCCAAAAGCCGGTCCTTAACTGGCCACCCAGCACCTCATGACCCCCACTGTCTCTTCTGCATGCCACCAAGCTTCCTGTAAGGTGGACAGGACATGTCAGCAGAAATGGAGCTCTAGACAGGACAAAGTGACCTGCCAGAGACTCACTCCCTCCTGGGGAAGCTAGTGCCCCTGACACCTTATCCTCAGAGCGCTTTCCTGCCCCCCAGCTCCAAGGGCCTAGGCTGGCTGGTGACGGTCAGAAGCTCACAGCACCGCCCTCCCCGAGACCCCTATCCCTCCATTCCTGATTCCCTGGGATAGCATTTCTGTTCCTCAGGCTCCTTCCCCAGAAGTTCCTGTTGCAGGAAGTGGTAACAAACCCAAAGCCTTTTTATTTCACCCTGTTCTTCGGAAAGGCTCCTAAGCCCTTTTTTCCTGCCTGCCTCACCCTTCCTCTAGGCCATCCAGGTTATTTTCTCATTCTGGGCTGCACTCAGAACAAGTAGTCCCAGGACCAAACAGTAACTGCAGATCATGGTCCTGAGCCTGGGGGCCTGGGCTCACGACCAAAGCCCTCTCCGTGGAGAGACAAGTCCATCTGCCATCAGCCCTCCCTGGTGCTCCCCGCCCCTCGGGCACTCACACAAAGAAGCAGTGGGCAGCGGTGAGCACCCACTGGGCGTCGATCAGCGTGCCCCCACAAATGTGAGTGGTGCCGTAGTGCAGGCTCACTTGCCAAGGCCACTTGCTCTCTGGGGCCAGCGCCCCTCCCACGATCCTCCCCGTCATGGCCCTTAGTCCACAGTCTGGGGAGAAGCAGAAGCGAGGAACCGTGACCTCTGCTGCTCTCAGAATGGCTCCCGTGCTCCCTGGACCCAGGGCAGCCTCAGGCAGCCCCATCCTGAGGGCACATGCCTGCCCATGGACACAGCTTTGCTCACTTAATCTGATATGGCCCAGCTGTTTCCTGCCAAAGCAGAGCTTCCATGGGGAGGGTTAGACTGCTGGGATCACCCAGTGGGGAGTTTCATCCCAGGCAAGTTCCTCTTTCCTCCCACTCATTCATTCTTTCCTTAACGATGACAAATGCTCATTAAAGTGTCTGAAGTTGGGGGACTGTGCCAAGCATCAAGGTCATGATGGCAAATCCCAGGGCTGCCTTGCTGTGCAGGTGGGTCTGTGCCCATATGATTCCCCAGGGGGTCATTTAATGCTACTGGGGACCCTGTATGTACCCCCACAGGAACATTCCCAACCATGTTCTGGAGTCATCTCCCCAAAATTGTGGACAAGGAGGACAGTCCTTGGAGTCTGTTAGGACATGTTTCCTTTTCTCTTTAAAGCAAGAGAGAATGAAGAACCAGTAGTGGTCTGAAGGGTGGGCCCTCTGTCTGAAGCCCTGTGCCCGCCCACTCAGGGGAGCACGCCCACCTGGTCATTACTGAGAACACAGCACATGTTTACAGGCTGCTTAACAGCTTGGGTTTTGGGGTCAGACCGAAGGTCAGATACCAGCTCCTAACCTACCAGCAGTGTGACAAACATGCCAGTCTCTTATCAGTAAGTGGACAGTAATGGCCCTGCCTCATGAGAATGAAATGCAATTATTTATCAAGAGTCAATAAGAGTAGAATGTACTCAGTAAATGTTGGCCCTAGATCTAGTTCCACATCTGTTGATACAGGAGCGTTAAGTTGATCCAGACTAGCCCTCCAGTCCTCTCCACCTCCCAGAATCCATGAGATTTGAAGGGCTTCCCCTGTATGAACAAGGTTGCTGGGCTGAGCAGAGTCAGGAGAAGGAGAAGTGCTACTCTGAGACTGTCCCAGTGCCTTACAGGGACCTCAGCCCTGAAGCAGGCCTGCTGCTTAAGACCGTCTTCCTGTTGGAACCCCCAGGGCTGGTCATCTCCCCCAGAGGGGTCCCATGTCTCTGCTCCCTGACTCCCACCCCACACAGGCCACAGTCCAGGAGGAAGAGCATCTTCTTACGGGAACACTGGAGAGAGACATACCGCTGGGAAGGGCATTCAGACCTGCACAAAGGGACACAGAAGATGGGAAAAGGGCACTTTAGATACCTCCTCCAAAAAGCCTTCCCTGATTGACTCCTTCTAACTTCCTATCCCATTTCCTTTGCATAAGATAGAGGTTCTGATCTCCCTCCCAGAGAGACAGACCCTTCCAGTGCTTTCTCCAGGAATGGGGATGGCTCAGTGCAAATCATCCCCACTCTTGTCGCCATCCCCACCCCTCAGTTTTCGTATGGGAGATTGCACGCATTGGGTAGATCCATGTCCTTTGAACTCATGACTTCATTGTCCCTGCATCTTTCCACAGCTGAACAGGTAGCCTGACTCTCCTCGGCCAGTTCCTCAATGCTCCACGGGCAATGTAGCTTGCAAAACACCTAGCACAAAGCAGGCATCCAGGCTACAGCTCATTCTCTTCTCTTCCCTCCCCTCCCTGTCCCTTTTTCTCTGGAAGCCTGGCTTCTTCTTTCCCTCCCCAAGGTAAACACCACTAGCTGGTGGAGCACCCTTCAACCTTCCCCTGAGTGGGATTGGGACAAGGGCGGGTCTGCAATGCAGAGATGACAGATGGCAGGGCCCAGGAGGGGGCCAGGGCCTCCCAGCTGGCCTCCCTGTCCCTGGCCACATGCACCTGGCCCTCCTCCTGCTCCTGTTTCCCCCCCCCCACCCCGATGACCCCAGCGATGTTTCTCCCTCCCCACCCCAAGCCCAATCCCTACAGCGGCTCCCAGTCCAAACACCCAGCAGACTGGTGGCCCCAAGGTTTATTCATGGTCTCTAATAAACAGATGAATGCTTGGGGCTCCCCTGAGCTTGAAGTTCACACTGCACCACACTGACTTTCAAGTCAGGAGACAGGTGGCAAATGAGGACTGTTTCGGGGATGCTCAGGACACTCATGATGGACTCCTGGAGGCTGGGTCTCAAAAAGGCCAAAGGAGAGGGACTCCCTGACTCAAAGCACTCCCCCATTTTTCCCTGCTCATAGGCAGACAGCCTGGCCCACACCACCACACCTGTAGAGGCTTTCCTGGAGGGTGGAGTTGTATTTGGAGATGGAGAAGCTGCTGGCAAGATTCCTGTGGGCCACCTCGGTCGTCCGGTAAGCACTGTAAGGAGGGGAGGGAAAGAAGAATGAGCCTGCCCCCACTCCCAGTGCCCCAGCTGACATTAGAGTTTTGCTGGCAGAGGCCAGGGTCTGGTAAGGCCCAGCACACCCTGCCCCCACCCACACATTCCACCACTGTCCCCACCCCCCCAGCCCTGTGCACCAGCCCAGGAGATGCGGCATTAACACCCCTGCGAACTTGTTAGAAATGCAAATTATTGGGTCCTCTTAACCCTAGACCTACTGAATCAGGAACTCCAGTTCTATGTTTTAGCGGGCTCTCTGGGAGATTCTGATACACATGCAAATTCAAGAAACACTAGCCGGGCCCTTTTCTGGCCAAGCTGTGATCCATGCGCCACAGCAGCACCCCAAAGCTGCTGAGCCAGACTTTGCCTTTTAAAGATCCCCATCTTACTGCTTTGCACATGAAAATCTGAGAACCTGGTACTCGCTTACTGGACCTCAGGCCACAGTGTACCTAAGAATCACCTCAGGACATTTGTTAAGCAGGTTTTAAACCTTAATCCACAGATTCTGATTTTAACAACCCCCCCCCCCCCCAGGTGATTCTGATATGGGAGATCCGTGGACCACAATCTGTGTGGCACTTCTGTGCATTTCTGGAACATGGTGCACCCCTGAATGAGAGTGCGTCTTTTGCACATGCTGTTCCTCTCCCTGGGGGTCCTCTGTTCTCTGCTCTCCACCAGGTGCGGTCAGGCTCCCTCTCCGTTGCATACCCATAGTGCTTACCATTACGCATAGCATTATGCTATGGTTATTGATTTAAGCCTCTCTCCCCCACACCATACCGGAGGTTCTGGAAGGGCAGGGATCTTGTCGGGGTACCCGTGGTCTCTGGCACGCATCAAATCTCAATTATGTGTTTGGAATAAGCGACACCATCTACTGAAGCCCAAGGGAGGTTCTGATTTGCATAAGGTCGTACAACTCGATAATTAAAGATGTCCGTCTTCCAGCCACATCCCCCTGATTTCCCTCTCACAGATCGGAACTCTGAGGCTGAGGGAAGGGAGAGGACAGGCTTTCTAAGTCCTGGCCTCCCAGCCTTGGGTTTCAAGGCGCTTCTTCCACAGAGAGTCCACAGTGACAGCTGAAACCCTTCCCCCCACAACCCCACACATATTGGTGAACCCCAATACTCGGACCAAGAAGGAAGATGGAGTTCGCTATGTGGCCTAGAAATAAAGGGAAGAAGGGGGGACTCCATCAAGTGGGAAGGTTGTCCTAACCCTGCTCCCTGCTCCACCCACGAGCACCTGCTTTGGTGTGAAATCTTTAGAGCCAAGAAGATTCTTAAGATTTCACCTGGCCACATCTGCCCATCTCCTCCCCGCCTCGATGAGTTTCAGCTCAAGCCACAACTGCTGGAGTGCAGAGCCTGAGCCTCTGGTTCCTGGCTGGAGTGCTCAAAGCCTTACCCCCCTTGCCGGGCCGCCGTGACCATGAACCGTGACCACGGACACAAGGCCACTTCGATGCAGAGAACATACGGTAGTGTCAGGTCCTACGACAGATCTCCACATCATGACTTTGGCCTCATGGGAACAACTTGCCCCCAGACTTGGGCACCCAGGGCCACTGTTCCTTTGAATGATGCAGGAGTGTCCCGAGCTAGTGCCCTCAGCCCTGGTCCTCAAGACTCTTCTCTGTAAGTTGCCCACAGTGAGCCTGAGGGGCCCTTGCAGAGAACCCGGGATGTCTCTGAACCTGGGACCCCTGGGGGGATATTTACCTTATGAAACCCAGCTGCTGGCAGGTCTTCTCTGAGTAGGAGTCATTCCAGCTGTCGCTGCAGATGGGAAGCCACTGATGGGAGGACCCGGAGTAGACTTTAAGCAGAGACTTGTCCCAGTCAAACCTCACTGCCGGGCAGGAAAAGGGCAGAGCGGGCTCTCAGCACCCGGTTCTTGAGGAATGTCTGAGTTGGGCTCTGAGATGCTCTTGTCCTGGGACTCCTCGCTATGGCCTGGGGAACATCTGGGAGCCAGAGCCAGGAGGTAATGACCACAGGCCAGGGCTCAGGAGCCCAGGACACTCAGTAAAGGCAGAGCCAAGGTAGGGGCCGGAGCAGGGCAGAGAGCTCTCTCTGCAACAGGACCCAGGGGACCAGTGCTGGGAAAAGGGCTGAGCACTGCCAGGAGCCTTTGCCCCAAGAGGGCAGCGGCATGCCCGAACAAGAGAGTGGCAAGGGTAATAAGGCCTGTGATCTGAGGGCAGCTCTGGACCCCACATCGGCCTCCAGCTGGAGTAGCTCTATTTTACCTGCTAGTTGGGAGTAGGCAGATTCTAAGAACCACTAATCTTGTCCAGTTCCCTCATTTCACAACTTAGGGAAATGAAGCCCAGAGATGGTAAGTGACTTGCCTGAGTCACACAGCACTCAAAGCCAGGTTTCAGACCCAATTCTACTATCACTAGAACCCAGGTCTTCCGACTCTCTGTGCATTGCCTCCAATTCGAGCTGATATGCAGTTTGCAGTCACCAGTCATCAGAGTGCATGCACACACACACACACACACACACACACTCAGGCACACATGCACCCATGCCCAGCACCCTTACCGCAGCCCAGCTCATCACTCCGCAGTTTACAGTCCACGATCCCATCACAGCGCACAGCATGGATGGGGCAGCTCTCCACTGGTTCCTTGTACTTGATCCCTGTGTGGCCCCGCCAGAAATAGACTGGAAGACAACGAAGCAGACAGCCGGGTCACTGCCAACCCCAGGTGGACAAGACACTGAGCAGCCCGAGGCCCTGGGGGTTCTGAGACACCGACCTGCAATCCCTCTTGGACTCTGGGGCTCTCTTCCCCCATCTGTATGGAGAAAAAGCCTGCTCAGAAATGCTCCAGAATGCTCCGGAAAGCTCCTGCAAGCAGGGCACCACCAGGCGGATTCGAGCCGCCACCCAGAGAGAGAGAGAAAGAGAGGGAGGGACAACAAAGGAGGGAGGGGTGGAGGTGCGTACGGCTTGGGAGCTCCCGTGCCCTACATGGGCCAGATTGGCAGCCAGAGAAAGCCCTCCTCCAGAATCCCAGAGCCCCCTCTCGGAGCCCCTCTGGCATATCCCTTCTTCTCTGTGCTCTGCAGGTCATAGCAGAGAAATTTGTCTCCGCCATCCAGACGCACAAGCACTCCCCATGCTGTCTGCTCGAAAGCTGTTCTTTCGGTCTCAAATCTCCTGGATTTTCCTTCTCCTTCCCCTCCCCTACACAAGGGATGTCTCCTTCGATCAGCTCCTGCCCCATTACTTGTCTTTATAAATGTCTTTCCTCTCAAAGAGCAAATCTAGATGGCTGATTCCCAAATGTACAAGCTTTGCAAACTATGAAAGTCAGCCTCATGACTCCCTGCGTCTGGAACACTGACCTCTTCTCAAACTAGGGATCCCATCCCTCCTGCCTGGAGACATCTTCCCTTGGGTGCCCAAGAAACCTGAGTTTTAACTCCTCACCCTGCCCCTCATCCTCAGCTTGATCCCCCACTGCTCCCGCCTGCCCTACCATGCGCTAGGTCATCCAGGGCGAAGGTCACACTTGTGTGTCTGCTCCTTCCAGACCCAGACACCAGTGCCTGCTGGGCCACATGTGGAGGGCCCCCCTGATGGTCAGTGGACCTCAGGACATGTGGTGAAACCACACTGTGACTTTATGGTGGGGGCGCCCTTAGATGCCAACTCAGTCCTCCATGGGTCATTCCCACCTGCTCTCCCATGACTGCCAGGGGGTCCCTAGAGCAGTGCCCTGTGGGGGAGGGGCAGGAGAAGCCGGGCAGCATGTCCTGGCTTATGGTCCACGTGGACACCATGTGGCAGGCACCGTGCTGAGGACGCCCTTATGAGCATGACAATTATGCCATCTCCTTGTCAGGCAGGTGGGGACACCGAGGCTGGGGAAATTAATTAATTTGCTGCAGTCCCCCAGGTGGCAAGTAGCAGAGCCAGGAGGCTCCAGGGGGCCATGCCCTTAACCAGCACACTACCTCCTCCCGTGCCATCCTCTTCCTGGAGCAGCCTGGCCAGCCCGGGTTTCCACATGGTCACCCACCTGGCTTCTCCCCACACCATGCCACTTCTTCAGCAGAAACCTTACTCCCCAACCTGGTGTTTAAAGCTCTCTACCATGTAGCTTGGCCATGCACAGCCAAACAGCCCCCCTGGGATCCCCCAACACTCTTTTCCTCTCTGGCCAAGAGGTCCCTTCCTTCTCCCCACACCGACCTCACCCACCTGCCCCAACATTTCCTGCAGGAGCTCATTCCACTCAGACACCCTATCCACATGCTGTCCCCTCCTCCAGCCTGTCTCCTGGACCTTTCTGAGCTGTCCCCTACCACCCTGGCCCACACAGCTGTCACCTCTTCCTGATGGTCCCATCTGGCCTTAATTACTGCCAGCCAGGTCCCTAAGGAGATCGGAATCTCTCCGAGGACAGGGTGGCTGGAGGTGTGCTCCCCTTCTGCCCCCTTCTGAGGTTCCCCACTGTGCTGGGCCCGTGCCGAACCCCAGAACACTCTATCCTATTGTCCAAAATGCCCAAGAAACTTTCCCTAATCCATCTTTATATGTTTTTTTAAAAAATAAGTAGCATTTAGAGATTTTTGTGCCAGGCCCTGGGCCATTCTGTCATTTATGGCTCCAAACCCAGTGACATCTTTATGAGTGCTGACGGGGCTGGTAGTAAGTCAAGTGCACTGAAGGAACTGAATCCCATTAGAAGATGCAGAAACGGAGCTCAGAGTGGTTAGCTAACTCTCCCAAGCAAGACGCACAGGAAGGAGCAAGGATGAGGCCCAAGCCCGGTTCCCCCTAACCCAGCAGCCTCAAAGGGGCCTGGAGGCACCATGGCCCACAGCCTTTTGCAGGAGTGGGGCAGGGTAGCCAGCTGCGTGTGTGTTCCCCTCTCCCGTCTCCCTGTAGCGTGCCCCCATCGGCGGACCCCATTCCTCCCGACCATGACCGGAGCCTGCCCCTGCTCCCTCTGTTAAACTCACGGAGAATGATGAGGGACACCACGAGGGCGATGAGGAGGAGGACACATCCGATGAGCGGCAGCCGCTTCCGGCCCTCCTGCCAGGTGAACTTGGGCAGGTTGATACCTAGGAGTGGGGCAGCACCAGGGGAGGGTAAGGTTGCTGGAGAGGGGTCCGGGGCAGGGGAGGAGGGGAAGGGAACAGGCTGGCCCAGAAGGGGCCCGTGGGGACCTCCCCACTCCAGAATATGACCCCACCCCACCGGATACAGACAGCTTGCTTTAACGGAGCATCTCCTATGGGCCAACCAGGCACTGGCAAGTGCTCTCGTAGGGATTCTCACGGCAATCACGTGAGCTGGGTGTTATCGTGCTTATTTTACAGATGAGGAAACTGAGGCTCATGAAAGTGAAAGAACTTGCTCGAGGTTACTTGGCGAGTGAACAGGAGAGCAGGCAGTCAAATGAAGTGTGTCTCATTCCAAAGGCCACCACACCAGAGTGCCTCACCAGCCCGAGAGGGCAAGACTGGGAGAGGGGCCCCAAGCATGGGATGGTGGGGACGGTCTGAAGTCTACAACTGGATGAGGCAACGCTGGGATGGACAGACACACTGTCTTGTTAGGGGCAGAGCCAGCCCCAAGGCCCAGCTGGCAGCTCTGATTTCCAACCCCTGAACCAGATAAGCCAGTTTGGAAAGATGGGGCCCGAGAGTGCCTGGTCAGAATCCATTTCCTCCATTTCCTCCCATAGATGGGTCCATGATCAATCAGGACCCTGCTCCAAGGCAGACCTGGGCCTCCCAGCAGACCTGTGGGGCAGCCTAAGGAAAGAACCCCGGTCCCCAACCAGAGTCCTCGCTCTCGAAATCTGAACTCTGACCCACACTGTGCAGCCTCCAAAGTTACAGCTGCTGGGTTGGTCCTGGTTCCTTCTCCCCTACGCCCCTGGCTCCGATTTTCCCCTGTCTTGGGTTTACATGGAATAACCCCTTTCTGCCCCCACCTCCCCAGGCCCCCCACTGCCCGCCCCTGACTACTCCCCTGCCTCCCTGCTCCTCTTGCTTTTTTTGCATTTTTTTTTCCTGAAGTGTCCCCCCTTACCTGGGCTCTCCCTAGTGGTCCTCGTGGCTGGTGCTGACCTGGCAGGAGATGTCCGGATGGGCACGGCGCCCACTGGTGTTGCTCTAACAAGATATACTCTTGTCGGAGAGGATGTCGTGGAGGCTGACCTGGCAGATGATGACCTGGAAGGGGACGCCCGGGCCGGGGGCGTGCCAGCTGGAGACACCAGGGCTGGGGACGTGCCGGCTGGAGATGCCCCGGCTGGAGATGTCCTTGCCGGGGAAGCATTCTGAAAGCAGAGTGAAGGGCATCCCTCAGGCTGCTCCCCTGAGAACGCACCCAGCTGTCAGCCCTGCTGAGCCAAGAGATACTTGCCCTGAGGCAAGCAGCTTGGTAGGGAACAAACCCCGCCCCCCAAGCATGTGAGAAGAGAGTGTCCTGGGGTGCAGCACCGGTTCGAAGAGCCTGCCCCCCCCAGCTCCCCATGGTCTCTCCCTATCATGTGGAGGTGGGCACAGGGCAATGGGCCATCTGCCTGGGGCTTGGGGGGCCCTTGCTTTGGCTACATGTGTCTAAGGACCCGCCCTCTGAGGGTGGCTCAAGGAGATGTGATCCCCGGAGGCAGAAGTGATGGCCCTTTCACTCCCACTCCCCCCACACCACAGCCCTTTCCTCTTCTGTGCACCAGACTTCTAAAACGCCATTCTTACTATGAGCTGTCGTTCAAGGGTGACTAGCTCTGCTTAAGAAGAGCCCTGACCTGCCTTGCAGCCCACCATTCTCAGTAACACCAGACTTGTCTCGCTCACTCGTGCACCTGCACACACGCACGTGCATTTGCTCACCAGTGCACCGGGGCAACTGGAGAGGCAAAATCAGAAGAAGGTACGGGTGGGGTAGGAGCCCACCACTCTTGGGCAAGATCCTTAACCCAACTCGGCTGCGGGAGGAGTGGTCCGCTCACCTCGATTCAACACTCCCATGGGTGCTTAGAGAGGACTTCACATGCTCCGAGAGCTTTATATGTATTCACCCACTTAGTCCTCAGGACAGAATCACTCCCATTTTGCACACAGGAGACGGAAGCAGAGCTGGAAAGGGGCAGGGCCAGAGTGTGAGTCCAGAAAGCCGGGCTTGGGGACCAGCTCAACCACGAGGCTTTGCTGCCTCTCTGAGGAGGGACGCGGTTGATAACGCAGCAGCTGGCCTTACTAGGCAATCTGTGAATGCTGGTAAGTTCCTTCCTGGCAAGTGGAGCTTTTGGGGTGCTTTACATCTAAGAGAGAGCCAGTGGGCAGTCAGGGCGGGCAGGAAGTCTGGTGGGGCTTCCCAGGCCCTGTCACTGCCTTCTGGCCCCTTATACCATCTCCACCTCTTCAGGCCCCTCCAGAAGTCCCAGAGGCAGCAGGGGGCATCTGGGAACGCGCTGGCCCCGGGGCCACATCTGACCCTCGTCATCATTTCCCCTGAGCGCTGCCTGGCCCCTGAGGAGGGCAGTCTGGGAGCGGGAGCAGCAGGGATGGTGAGGGCGGCTCACCTGTGCTGGGGACCCCAAGCTGGGGGCATGGTCGGCAGGGCTTTGTGGAGGACACAGGCTCTGGACCCCTGGCGTTGGTTTCCATCCCTCCCCTGCCCCTGTGCTAACACTGGACATTATTAGTAAGCAAAGCAGGTAAGAAAAAGTCCTCCTCATTTGAACATCAGCCCAAGTCAACACTATCATCCCTACCAGGCAAGGGTTTCTTGTTTGGTTTTGTTTTAATTGTTTTAAACTCCCTTTTCTAAGAGTCAGAGGTAATGGATTTGGTCACTTCCTCGCTGTTCTGGAGGCTGCAAGATGAATTCAAGAAGGAATCTCGAGTCCCTAACCATGCTCGGCTTACCGCCGGCCGGGACCAGGAGCCATGATCCCAGGGAGTTGCTAGGTTTCTTGATGGATGTGAGTAAATACACGTGGGTCCAGGTGTCCCAGCCAGCTGAGCAGGGACACACGTGTGTGAGATTAGGGACCTGAAAGGCAGCTGTCACTGCTGCTGACCCAGTTGAACCAGAGCTCAGATTCCCCCTCTCACCCCCAACCTCTAGAGACTAGATTCCCCTAAAGTGAAGACAGGCGAGCCCCTAGTTGCTCCAAGGGGACCAGGACTGGGGCTGGGGGCAGGGAGAGGCGGTGAGGATGTGTGGAAATATAGCACCCATCAGCTGCTAGCATTGGCTTCGGAGTCAGGCAGACCTGGGTCTGCATCCTGTACCGAGCAGTGTGACCTTCGGCAAGACACTTAACCTTTTTTCTTTTTCTTAATCTATAGAATGGGACTAATAACCCTGAGGATTTGATGAGATAAAATGGGAAATGCTTTGCCTATGTGTGGCACACAGCAGCTGGGCAGGAAATGATCGCCTCCCTCCATCTTTGCATTGGCCCACACAACACCCCCCTGCCGGAGATTTAACAGCCCTGGGGCATGACCAGAGGGTTGAAAGGTGGTGGGAGCTCATCTTAGGGAGAAAAGTGGGTGCTGGACAAAGGCCAGACTAAGGTCCTTCAATGAGAGAGAAAAACCCAGGCTGTGTAGACTCTGTGCTTCTGGCCAATGATGGCCCAAGGCTTGTCCCCTGCCCGGGACCCTGGCACTGGGCACCTCAAATGGCCTGCCAGCCTTCCCTCCCTGCTGTGCTCACACCATAACCCTTCCCCACCCTGGGGGGCACACTCCCACTACAGGATACCTTCAAATAATAATTCACATACCAGTTCACAAGGTACGGCACTTGAGAATTTACAATAAACTTCACGTCTGTGGTTTCATGAGGTCCTCACTCCAAACCTGAGAGTTTGGTGTATTTATTTATTTACTTAAAGATTCTATTTATTTATTTATTTGAGAGAGAGAATGAAGGTGGGGAGGGTCAGAGGGAGGAGCAGGCTCCCCACTGAGCAGGAAGCCCAGTGCCAGACTCGATCCCGGACTCCAGAATCATGACCTGAGCGGAAGGCAGTCACTTCACCAACTGAGCCACACAGGCACCCGAGTTTGGTGTTTTTAGAAGCCTGTTTTACAGATGAGGAAACCAAGTCTCAGGTCTCAGATTGCCCAGAATCCCACAGTCGGGATGCTGCCCCAAGCCTGTGTGTGTCTGAGTCCCCTGCCCTCTGAGGTCGGCAGCAAGAGGCCCTGCCACAGTCTTCTCCAGGCCCCTGTACTCCGGTGCTCATTCTGCATTTGTGACACAGCCTGAGAACTGGGACCTGGGGCCTGGCAGGGTGGGAGCACCCTGGGGAGCCTGGCGGTGGGGACAATGGTTCTACAGTGATCTCGGTCTTATGGAACTTTCTCATGGGCATCACAGGTGGGTCCTGGGGCTTGCCAGGACCTGGTGGAGTCTGGGGACAGGAGAGGCAGCATGCCAGGCTCACACACTCTTCAGCAGGAGACTCTGGGCCAGAGACTCCACCTCTTTGTGCCTCCGTTTCCTTATCTGTAAGGTGAACCAATCGCCCTGCTTCCTAGCAGCATAGTAAAAGATGCTATATGTACAGGAAGGGCTTGGAGACCATGAGCTGTGACAGTGGGTGTTGAAGTAGAAAAAACTGTGTTCAAATATGACTGCATCCATTTCTGAATGCACTGCCCTGGGCAAGTAAGGGAATACTTTAGTCTGTCTCCATTCATGTAAGATGGGACTGACCTTGCCTCCTTTCCCCATAACCGCAGAATAAACACAGAAGAGCCTGGTCTATGAATGTGTGTCACACACACACACACACACACACACACACACACATCTATGAATGTGTGTGAAAGGTGGTAGCCCATTAGGCACTTAGCTTGATCCCGTTTCAAACTCATCACAGGCCTCTATGGCTGGTACTATCAGTCCCATTTCATAGATTTTGAAACTGAGGCCCTGGGAGGTTAAGAACATGCCAAACTCACCTCTTGGGGCTGAGTGACAGGGCTTGGATCCTGATCAGGCCTCCTAGGAGCAAGTAGAGTCTGGACCCACAGTATCACGAGAGTCCCCAGTAACCTTCTTCACTTCCTTGAGGCTGACAGCATGCAAAGAGCTTCCATACCCATTATTTCCTGTGGTTCTCCCAGGGCCACGCTATCAAGGATGGAAGGAACTATGACCCCCAACCTCTCCTTGAGGAAACCAGGGTGCAGAGGACTAAACAGCATGCCCAGAGCCCCTGAACTGATTGGCAGGCTTGTAGGGACTTAACACAGCCTTCTGATTCACATTCAAGAGCTTAGGCTGTCCCCACCAGAGCAGGGCTCCATGGCCCTGGTCCTGGTACTGCTTCACTGTGGCAGGAACAAAGGGGTCCACAGCAGGCAGAGGCCCCAAGGGAGATGGTGGAAAGGCTAGGGGAAGGTAGGAACAGTGGGAGGGAGTTAGAACAGAGGGGTAGCTGGTGAGGGGCAGTCAAGGTGGGAAGCTCAGGGCAGCCAGAAAGACAGAGGGGAGGCCTCCAGACCTTGCTCAGCCCTCTCCCTGATGCTGGTTCCACCTGTACATAGTTCCCAACGTGCCCACCCATGGCCTTGGCCTATAGGAAGCAGGGAGGAGGGTGTCTGGGGAGGTGAGCTGGGGTCCAGGCAGAAGAAGCCCCTGGGTCCCTCTTCTGAGTCTAGAGGGAGATGGGGCAATGTAAAGTGGGACTCATGTTGGGTATAAAAGGGGTAAGTCCCCAGACAGACTCTAAAGGTGCTACCTCCGAGACTCAGCCCGTGTCAAGTCTTTCCGGGGCTGGGGAGGGGGCTGTGGATGCACAGGGGAGGCAAGGCATTGGGGTAGACAGGAACATATCCAAGAAAGAGCTGGAGGCTGTGCAGGGCCTGGTCTCCATAGAGCAAGCACTCTTGTGTTACAGACAAGATTTGGGCCCCAAAGGCCAGGGCAAGAGAAGAGGCCTGACCGCAGGGCTAGGGGAACCATGAACCCCAGCAGGATGGACGGGCAGCCCCAAGACCAGAGGAAAGCAGCCTCTACAGTGAGACCATCTGCCTCAGCCCCTTGACTCTGAACCTCAACCCAGACCATCCCTGGATGCTGAGAAGAGCCCCCCTTTTCAGGGAGCACTAGAAAAGATTCCACACCCACCCCTTCCCCATTCATGGCCTGCCACCCCCACCTGCTGGAAGTTCTTCCTGATGTCTAACCTACTAGAGCAGTAGCTCATTTCCCTTCCTCAATCCTTGGAGAACAACTGCTGCGATTCCAGCCTCCCTCGTGGAGGCCTGGTCACACCCTCAGAGCAGATGCCTTGAGTAGGTAGGGAAGAGGGTAGGAGGAGACTTCTTGCCCAGAACCCCAAGATGCAAAGGGCTGAGCCCAAACCAGGACCCAGCCTAACTCCTGGCCTTTGCCAGTGAACAGAAGACCTGACAATGGAACTCAGATGACCAAGTCCAGGATGCCCATGACCCGCCTGCTGGCGAAAGGCCCCTCAGCCCATCTGGGGACAGTGGACAGGACAAAGCCAGGCGGGTGGGTGATTCTGGACCATTTCCCTGGCCAAGCACTGCCAATCATTCTTTCCTGGCCCTGCCTCTCCTCCGCGCCAGCCTCTAGGGTGGGCTCCGGGGTTCCCCATGGGGTAATACATTCGTAGCCCTCACGGCATCGCAGACCAGCCTATACACCAGGCAGTCATGACCCCCACCTGCCTGTGCTTTGCATTCTGCAGGGGCCCCTACATGCAACAGGTCCCCTGAGGTGCTCTGGGACAGCAGGCGGCCTGGCTGGAAGGCAGGCCACACAGGGATCTGCAGGGAGGCAGTGAGCGATGGGCCAGACAGAGAGCTGGGCAGAGCAGTCCCTGGCTCTGGGGCACTCTCCAAGCACTTTCCTGAACAGGAGTCGATCGAATTATTATTCCCATTTTATGGTCAAGGAAGTAGAGGCCTAAAACATTTGCGTGCTTTCTTCAGAGTCACTTTGGTCCATCTTACATCGCAGAATAAAGACTAAAACCCAAGGGCCCTTGTACCAAGGCCATGGTCCTCTCTCCCAGGGCTGCCAGGATGAATGGGACATGTCTATGGTTTCCTGTGGTGGAGTCCGTCCCGTGGGCCCTTACCTGGTGGGAGTGGCACTGAGTGAGCAAGGAGCCTAGTGGTCCTGCCCTTGGCCTCTCTGCTCCTCCTACAGCCCAGCCAGCTGTGCCAAAAGGAGAGGGTTCAGGGATCCTCTGCCGTGCTGAGCCACGCGGTGGCCACCTCCGAGATTGCTCGGTTTCGTGGCTGCTGCCCAGGATTGAGCTCCGGTCTTTGCTTAGAGGCTGTTCTCCAACAATAGGAAGTGGTCTGAACTCCGGGATACAAGCCTCATGGGCCGCTCAGAGCCCGTGGCAGGCAGGGAGAAGAACCTGGCTAAAGGCTCCTGTGGGAAAGTCCGGTGGGTAGCAGCAGCCATAACACAACTTCGGGAATCAAGGGCAGGTCCACCGGGGCCCGTTCAAGTCCAGCCAAAGCTGGCACGGCCTCGCTCCTCTGCCCTGGGCCATCCCTTCATGCAGCCTGCTCCCCGGGCAGGCTGGGCAGATCACAAGCCGTCAGAGCTAGAAGGAGCTTGAAAACCCTCTAGAGTTCTGGTTCCTTTATCCTACTGATAAGGTGATTAAGGCCCAGAAAGGCAATGCAACTGGACTAAGGGCACAGCCAGTTGGGAGCAGAGCTAGTTGGGGCACACAGGGGCACACGGCTAGTTGGGGGCAACGTCATCTTCTGGCTCCTGTCTTTGGGCTCCTGTCCATCACTGTGCTCTCCCAGTGCCCCTTACCAGGCTCCATGGGGAAGGACTCCTGACCAGACTGGGGCCTCTGTAGCAGCTTCTCTCTCCCAGAGACCCTGAGTATCAAGGATGTTCGGAGTGGGGGACATAGGCAGGACCCCAGCCTGACCCCTCCGGCATTCTGGACTAGGCAGGAAGAGATGACCCCAATCCCCACTGGAAGCACTAGAGGGTACCAAGAAAAATCAGGAGCTCCCTTTGGCAGAATCTAAATGGCTATTGTGTTACTGGGATGCTGGGGAGTCCCTGGGCCATAGCAGGGGAGGCCTGAACCCATTCGACTATGGACTGGCCTGGACTGAACTGGTCGGAACTGAGATGGAGTGGATCATGCTTCTTTCCTGTCCTTACTGCTCAACCCAGGCTTCCCTGTACCTCCAGGTACGCCAGGCTCCCTCCTACTCCCTCCTTCCTGAACCCAGGGAAATTCCATAAATGTAGGCTCCCCTCAGAGTGCAGGCAGACTCCCCAGCACTTCCTTCCACCCTCCTTCCAAACTGGGGAACCCCTGGAATCAAACTGGGCCCCAGAGGCCTCTCTTGAAGGCTTGGGATGCATGGGGGAGTCTGGCTTCTGCTCCTCACCGTGCATGACCTTAAGGACATTTGCATCCCTCTCTGGGCCTCTGCTCCCTGATCCATAAAAGGAAGGGAGCAGACAATCGGCTGTTTTCAAGCAGGGTTCCCGGAGCATGAGAGGTTCCGTGGAAATGCCTCTGGGACCTGGACCATTGGAGCAGGGAAAGGGTCTGGAGTCCTTCACCCCACTTCAAACAGAGAAGACCCACTTGGCAGTTGTGTACAATGGGCTCCACACACGGTTTCGTTTGAACAAAAGAGGCTGCTGCTGCTACAAAGAACTTGGGAATTACTGGCCTGGGCGAGCACTGATGTTCCTTCTGGTTTACGATGCCTCGTGAAAAAGCCTCGGGGAATCCTGGAAGCCCAGCGTCAAAACACCTCCTTGTCCATTCATTCGCGTATTCATTCATTCATCTGTTCGTTCATCAAAGAGTTTAAAGAACATCAAGGATCTACCGCTGCCAAGCAAACAATCTTTGATCACCCAGGGTCTTGTTGCCTCCATTTCCCCCCACGTGCCTTCTAGGTCCACGCTGGGGCGGTGACACAGTTCAGGGCTGGTACCTCATGGAAGTGCCCTGGACAGTCCTATCAGAGAAGGGTCCTGCCAAAGCCCCAGGGCCCCCGGGTCGGCTTCCCTCACACCTCCCCCCCAGCACGCTGGCCGCCCGGCTGGGCACAGTCCACCCTGCTGTTGCTGTACCAAGAGGAAGCTGTTCTGCCAAAACAAGACACTTAAGCTAAGTGGCTACTGTTACATCAGCAGGCCTTCCCGCCCAGCACCCCAGCCTGGAGCCCCATACACACACTCCCACACATTCTTGTTTACATTTGCCAAGTCACAGGGACAATTCGGGGGAGGCAGGGCAGGATGGGCCAGGTGGAAGGTTGCCCAGCACCAATGACAACAGGGAACAGAGAGGTCTCAGGTGAGGGCAGCACGTCTGTAGGGCCGAAGGGCAGGTGCCAAGGGTCCTGAGAGCCTGCGCTGTGGGGCTGACAGCACGGTGACCTGAGCCTGTTGATCCGCCCTCGTGGGAACCTACCCACCCCCATCAAGGGGGGGCGCCTCACCCACCCAGCCCTGGGACCACCTGCCCCTCTCAAGTCCACAACACCTGTGGTCTTGGACTGATTGAGAACCTGCTCTATTATAAGAAGACCCAGTCGACAATGGATTGCAGCTTTAGCAGTGGGTCCGTTGAGTCTCTCTTAAATAAACATGGCACTTCTGTAAGCATTAAGAATGTGATACCTTTGGAAAAAAACACAAAACACACACTATTGCTCAAGAGCAAATGCACCTGTAATCCCATTCCATACAAGTCCACGGACTGTCGGCGGGAGAAAGCAGTCTGTCCAACCCTCATCTTTGGTAGGTGGAAAAACTCAGGCATGAGGCATGCCCACATTGTAGAGGAGTCAGGCTTAGACCCCAGGTGATGATGATGGGGGAGGAGGAGGAAAATCTGAAAACTCTGTATCTCTCTCTCTGCTGGATGCTATTTTAAAAGGATCTTAATTATCATATGATCTCTCTGATATGAGGAATTTGAGAGGGGTGGGTATGGGGGGATAGGGAGGAAAAAATGAAACAAGACGGGACTGGGGAGGGAGACAAACCATAAGAGACTCTTAATCTCAGGAAACAAACTGAGGGTTGCTGGGGGGTCGAGGGGAAGGGATAGGGTGGCTGGGTTATGGACAGTGGGGAGGGTATGTGCTATGGTGAGCACTGTGAATTGTGTAAGCCTGATGATTCACAGACCTGTATCCCTGGGGCAAATAATACATTATATGTTCATAAAAAACAATAAATAAATAATTAAATAAACAAATAAAATTTAAAAAATAAAAATAAAGTAAAGTAAAAAGGGTCTTATATGTGAAAATCACTATTCTAAGACTCCTTGAAGGAGACACTATTTTTATTCCATTTTACAGATGAAGAAACTGAGGTACAAAGAGGTTGATTTGCCCAAAGTCACGGCTGACCTGGAATCGGTCAGTGTTCTGTCCACATCACGCAGCTTCTCTTTTGAAGACCGAGAAGCTGAGAGCTTTCTGCATCTCCTGTCCAAGGTCCCACCTGAACACCCAACCAGCTTCAACAGGCTTATGTCCCTTGGCTACCATCTTGCTCGCTGCTTTATGGAACTGAAGGACCAAAACCGCAGTGCGCATCTCTCTGCCATGAAACCCTCGGAGAGAAGGCACAGCCACAAACTACCAGTTTCTCCTAGTCTGCTCCTCTTCAGTCTAAAGGACCTGAAGAAATCTGCGGCTAATAAGATTAAGAGCCCCAGGCAGCTCTCCCTGCCCCCACCCTAGGCTCACTATCTTGGAGGGCTTACCTTCAACAAGGGAGTGAATTTAAGAACCTTAAATAAGGTGGTTTAAAGTGCTGCTTTAGGGGCACCTGGGTGGCTCAGTGGGTTAAAGCTTCTACCTTCAGCTCAGGTCATGATCCCGGGGTCCTGGGATCGAGCTCCACATCGGGCTCTCTGCTCAGAAGGAAGCCTGCTTCCCCCTCTCTCTCTGCCTGCCTTTTTGCCTACTTGTGATCTCTGTCAAATAAATAAATAAAATCTTGAAAAAAAAATAAAGTGGTGGTTCAGTTCTTTCACTCCAAAGTAAGTTAGGACAGCCTCCCAAACAAAGGAACATGGCACCTAACACACCATTTAACACTTCTTCCATCAGGAATGAAAAGTCTGCTCTCTACTCTCTGACCCTCCTGTGACCTTCCATGTTGGTCCCGAACTTTGGAAAGACAAGCATCCAGGCCTATGGCACCTACAACACCCTGCCCAGGTCTGACCCTACCATCCTTCAGAAAAATCAGTCATTCTCATCCTTTGTATTTAGAGATCATCAAGTTTAGTCTCCCAGAAAGCCACCAACAAACATGCCTGATGGCTGTGATTGTGGGTTCACCTTCCCCACACCTCAGACAAAACTCTGTTCTGCCCTATGCACTGCCCTTACTGCTCACCAGAGTCTCCAATGAACCCAGAGGCCTAGGACCAAATGACCCTGGGGAGGTGGAGACAGGAACCAAGGAGGACAGTGCAGAGAGGTCAAGGGGTAAGTCTGGGAAAGAAAAGTCAAGAAGGGCTGGAAGAATGGCCGGAAAAATGATGGTAAAATTGGCAGAAACGTATCTGGGGTTCAGAATGGACCACAAGCCTCCTATAAGCCAGAACATAGGCTGAGCTGATCCTTCTCAAACCCAGAGCTGCCCCATCCTTCCCAGAATTTCTGATTCTACTACTTTAGTAAAGAATGAAAGAAGGCAGAGAGAAGTAGAAAGCAAGATGTAAGGATAAGTTAGAGTACAAGAAAAATGTCCCTCCAGAAAGGAAAGCTGAGGCATAGTTAAACAAAATCTCTGGAAGCCTTCACGTGTATAATTGGCTTTTCCACGCAGGGCACTCTAGCTGCTCTCTGCCACCTTCAAGAACAGAAGAGGAAAGGAACCTGAGTTGCGGCAGAAGGAACTACGGTTAGACATAAGGAAGCACTTTCCAAGCATGAATATTATAAAGCCTGAAAGGAAGTGACCAAAGAAGATTGAAAAATCCCCTTGAAGATCTTAAATACACATAGAAAGTCAAATTTTCTAAGATGGTCTATGAGTCTAGGGAGGGGGTTAGCCAAGAGTACCTTGAAGGCCAGTTAAAATGGGAAGTTCTGGTGATTTCTCAAGCCAGCAAAAGGGATGATCTAACAGGTGACAGATCAAGAGCCCAAAATTCAGGCACAGCCCTGTGGTACTTCCTGACCAGACCCCGAATCCCAACAGCTCCTCCCAGGGGCTCCTCCTAGAAACCAGGAAAAAAGGAGGCAAGCAATCTCAATCCCTTCAAGGAGCTTCAGTGTGAAAAGGCACATTCGGTTTCCCCCAAAACCTTAGGCACCGAGGTGGCAGCGCCCCACCCATCTCCCAGCCCTATCCCTGCTTCCCCAGCCCTGGGAAGTTCTGGCCCAAGGCCCATGGCCACTCACCCGGCTGCTGTCCCTTTCCATGGTCTCCTGAGGGGTGAAGCTTCCAGGCTCAGCTGATGTCCACGGGAAGAGCCATGTTGGCCCCTGTCTTCCCCGGCATGTGGGGAAAAAGGGGCTGGAAGGCTGAGGGCCAGCCCCCACCAGATGGGGCGGGGAAGCGGGTTGGGACGTGTGAGGTAATCTCAAGTATAAACAACACCTCAGAACTAGCCAGACCTGTCCCTCTCCCCTCCTCCGAGGCCATCCCAGTTACTCAGCGAATACCAAATACCAAATACCGGGAGTGTGAAGCTACCTTTACTCCTGAAACTGCCCCCACAGAGTCAGCTATGAGGAAACCAGGGGTTCCGGAATGCTGCTTTCGGAGGGGCATTCTGAGAGGAAAAATGGAGGCCCTGTGTGGACAGTCTTAGGCCGGTCAACCTGAGCACCTAAAACAGATGTTCCCAGGGCCCTCTGAGGCAGGACCCTGTTCCCAAACGGAACATCCGAGGCCAGGGACCAGAGCCCCACCCAGGGCAGGACAGTGTCAACCTTCATCTCCAAGGACCACATGTCCAAATCCCAAATCAAGGCACATGGCAAAATTTTCATTTTCTGAACTCTATTCTATGAAAACTCTTACCAAAGAAATTAAAATCAAACAACCTCTAATTAAACCCATAATGAATTTCCTCTACGGAAAACAATAAAACGTTATGAAACAACACATCAAAAGCCAATTAAAATAAAACATACAAGTATCTGAATGGAAACCGTTCTAAGAAACTGTGAGCTGACTCATGGTCCCCCAGCTAGGCCCCGTTCTGATCCTCAGAGTCGAAAGAAACAGAGGAAGGGCCACCCCTTAGGGGTGCTCAGCACCCCCGAACCCAGCAGAGCTGCTGCTGAGGCGTTTCAGGTGAGCTTTGGGAAGAACTTGTGTGACTGAGCATTTGGGGGCACGGTGGCCATAGAATGGCAGACTTTTTACAGGTTGGAGGAAGCCCAGAGACCGTCTAGTACTTCAGTCCTTTCATTTTTTTTTTAAGATTTTATTTATTTATTTGACAGACAGAGATCACAAGTAGGCAGAGAGGCAGGCAGAGAGAGAGGAGGAAGCAGGCTCCCTGCTGAGCAGAGAGCCTGATGTGGGGTTTGATCCCAGGACCCTGAGATCATGACCTGAGCCGAAGGCAGATGCTTTAACCCACTGAGCCACCCAGGTGCCCCCGGTTCTCTCATTTCACCGAACCGACACAAGTCACAGGGAGCAAACAGCAGCGACAACAGCGATAAGGGGCTGGATTTCCTGCCGAATGCTCACCATACAGCAACGCCTACCACCTTCAGGACAATGCTACCCATCTGTCCTTCACTCCTTCACCCAACAAATATCCCGGTGCTTCTGATGGGCCTGGCA